CTCCCAGCATACATAAGGGGGATTACCAATATACCCCTGGCAGTCTTCAAGCTGCACTGACAAGCACCTAATTTCGGTACCTGTACCACTTGGGCTTGTGGCTCGTACATTGGTTTTTGCTTGCAGCCACAGTAACAGCCTGGTTGAACATGCCTGATCCACCCGGAGGCCTGGTCAACAAACCGGGCCACAGGGGCTTTGACCCCAGAACTCTCTCCAGGTAAAAGAAAAGAATTTTCTCCCAATGTGTTCTCGTTAGCTCGATACACAAAGGTAATGTCATGATAGGTCATTTCTGGAGTTATCAGCGACAACTGTCCATCCATAGGGTTTGTCTTGGATTTTTAGTAGTTCCACGTGGATAGACCTAGGAAGTGGGTGAATCTGAAAACCTTCACACCTGTATTGGGAAAGCTGTATAATTATGAAAAGTTGTGAAGAAGCAGGCGGCAATGAACAAAAGGGTTATGCCACATCAACCTGAAGCAGTGACAAAGCCTCACCAGCAGAAGATACAGAGGTATAAGTAGAGTCGAGATAATTGGACCAAATAAGAAAGCCGGTCAAACAGGGTGTGGGATCAGAAGTAGAAAAGGGTTTCACTGGACGAAGACTCTATAATAAGAACTTCTTCTGTGATATCTGCTTTCTTGTTATTTTAAAAAAAAAAGGGAAAGAAAGTTAAAAGGGACAGCAGAGGGACAATCGCTATGAGGCATGGAGAGGCCAAAAGTTCCTCTCCTCATCTGAGAGGGCCTTGTGGTGAAGATGTAGCATGGAACCTGTGCCATACCCGACCCTTCAAGCCGTAATCCAGTGCCCCGGATAGCACCTCATGTCTAAACAACTAACCTCGCAATACAAAGTAAGGGCAGCCGGAAACCCACCACAAAGGCTACCTCCTTCAGCCACCACATTCCAGAACCGACAGGCAGCATTAAGGAGATACACCCCATTCCCCAGAAGGCACTTTGCCTCTATCCTGGTTATCCGGGAAGGATCAGGGCAACTTCTACACTTCGGAATCCCATGGCTAACCACACCAACCCACGAGGGACCTCATGAGTGGGACAAACCTGGCACATCACCCCCGATGGACCTCATGAGCGGGAACAAACCTTAGCACACCACCCCAATTCACCCCCCACTACAGAATAATAAACTGAATTTGCCAAGGGAGGAACCCTAAGAGCTAAAATAGGTACTCCTCCCATAAAAAATAAAAAAAAAAAAACAAGGAGTAGGGTTGGGAGATGAGAGAATGGGAAAAAAGGGGGTATGGCGAGGGTGGATGGAAGGAGGCTCCCGCCTTGGGGGAAATTAGGTTTTGGTCAGAGGAGAAGACCAAGGCCAATATCTCAGACCAATAGCCTCTTTTCCACTGTAAGAAGCTCCCCCTTAAAGAGGGTTAAGCTGCAAGAATTGAAATATTTATGAACTGTGACAGCAGTAATTTCAATACTGTTAAGAGTGAGGGGTTATGAGCTTGTTCCAGCATTGTACTGTGACAATGTGGACACTACTCTTCAAACTTTGTAACAGTGACAATGGTGGAACACTACTCTTCAAACATTGTACATGACAATGTGGGACACTACTCTTCAGAACATTGTACATGACAATGTTGACACTACTCTTCAGAACATAGTACTGTGACAATGTTGACACTACACTTCAGAACATTGTACAGTGACAATGTTGACACACTCATCAGAACATTGTACAGTGACAATGTGGACACTTCCTCTTCAGAACATTGTACAGTGACAATGTGACACTACTCTTCAGATACAATGAACAGTGACAATGTGACAACTACTCTTCAAACATTGTACATTGACAATGTGACATACTCTTCAGAACATTGTACAGTGAACAATGGACACAACTCTCAGAACATTTGTATCAGTGACAATTGGGACACTCCTCTCAAACATTGTACAGTGGACAATGTGACACTACTCCTTCAGAACATTACAGTGACAATTTGGACACTCTCTTCAAACATTTTACAGTGACAATGTGACACTACTCTTCAGAACATTGTACAGTGCAATGTGGACTCATAATCTTCAAGAAAATTGTAACATGACAATGTTGACACTAATCTTCAGAACATTATACATGACAAGTGGACACTACTCTTCTAACATTGAACAGTGACAATGTGTACACACTCTTCCAGAACATTGTACAGTGACAATGTGGACGACTCTCTTCAGAACCCTTGTACAGTGAACAATGTGGACACTACTCTTCAGAACTTGTACAGTGTCAATGTGGGAACGACTCTTCATAACATTGTACAGTGACAATGTGGGACACGACTCTTCATAACATAGAACACTTTTTTACCAACAATGATGCATAGGAGTGCCTTGCGATACTATTACCTGTAGTTTTACTTGGAGAGGGTTTCAAGGTCAACATCCCTGCCTTCTTTCTGAGACCAGGCCTCAATGGTGGATCAGGTCGATCAACCAGCTGTTTACTTCCAGCTGCACACAGACTGATGAATGAGACCACAGCCCGTTGGTCAGTACTGACTCAGTTCCTGTCTAGTTCTTCTTGAAGCCTTCCAAGGTCCGTATTGGTAATCCACTTATGTATGAATGAGAAGCCAAAAATTTTCTCCAAAAAGGATTTTTTTGTTAATGTATCTGTAATTCTATGTAAATACTTTTTCCACTACCTTCTCTCTTCAAGCACAACCAAAAAAAAAAAAAAAAAAAAAAAAAACTTCCCAATTTCCTGTTCCACTCCTGCTCTCAAATTTACTCAAATTGTCCAAAGAATTTAAAGGAAAATATTATTTTTCTATGAAATGATAGAGAAATCTTTCCAAATGGTAATGAAACCAAAAGGTATAAATTTTTGATGGAAAACTTACAGATTTTACTTTCTCAATAATTAGCATCTGGCGCTATTTGTGGATCTCAAATTGGCCACTTTGAGCACTATTTGGCCAATTCCACTGTTCCATCAACCAAACAAATACTATTTGCTAAACCCTTTTTCTTCTATTGACCGAGTTTCAAGAAACTGCCCATTTAACCAATTTAACGTCCAATAAAAATGATCAAACATTGGTGAATTGGCCAATATTACACAAAATTCAAAATTCAAGGAAAGCCAATTTCAACACAAGGTCCAAAATTAACAAGCAAACATTCCAAGCACTAAATAAAATTTCACTTCTCATTAGTTCACTTTCTCCCAGACCATTTTATATTATACTTGCTTTTCATTAACACAGAAAATAGAAGATTTACTGTTATGCAGACTATTGCATTATTGTAAAAATAGCATTAATAATATCCGCATTTTTGGAAAGCCTATCAAACTCACCCAGTTTGAATGTGTTTGGATGTTGACGTGATTTGAATTCATTTTAAATATTACAAATCAGAAACATTCCTCTACTTCAGCTTCTATTTCAAAGTACTTTTAGTTCAAAAACCATTCAAAATCATTCATTTTTGTAGTATATCTACCAAGTTTTAGACAAGTGACCCACGCCGTACAAACACATCGTGTTACGTTAAAACACCATATTTAGCATTTGAACGCAAAAATTTTGGCGAACAACACGATAAAAAACTCGCCTTTAGTTGATTTCCGTTCGGACACGTCCCAACATGTGGCCTCAGCACCAGTTTTACAAGCCAGAATGTGGGTCACATCTATGCATACATTCGGTACATTTCACATTATCCCAGTGTTTTAAGTGCTTGTAACTGCAACATACTCACAATTGACCCCAAGAAAGCTCTAGTTGCCATCCCTTGGTAAAAAGGCGAGAATTAGTATGGAATTAAAAAAAGAGATTACGGAAAATTGTGTGCAGAGTGGTTGAACTGCAAACCTTTATGGAATGAAAAACACCCTGAACTCAGATACAGCAATCCGTGTTGGCAACCTTAACAATGACAATGTTATGGCCCATTGTAGGAAACTCTTAAAGGAACGGGAGGTACGAGCTCTATGGACGAGATTTGTTGTGGTGACTGAAGCCATGACTCTCAAGCTTGTCCTAGTGGCATTAAAGAGAAGTAAGTAAACGCCCGGAAAAGGACTGCACACAGTCCTAATGGAAGAGAATTCCCTTCTAAACAATAAATCAATAACTCATCCACACACTCCCCTTCTCCCACCCCCATCAACCACATCAGATCTCAATAAGGTAAGTGCAAGTATTTATTCTTTAGTAGAGTAAGTACTTGTTGCATATCTTCTTCATTTGTGTGTATTAAAATTAATATTCATGTGGTAAATTTTTTTTTTTTTGGACTATGGGGTGTCAGGAACGGATTAATTTTGATTTCCAATATTTTGTTATGGGGAAAAATTAATTCGTCTAATGAATAATTACCAGCTTACGATGAGCTCTCTGAACAGAATAATATTGTAAATGGGGTCCACTGTATATCATCAAATGGTACAAAGAAAATGAGAATACAACCATAAATAAATAAACTGTTGTTTAAATTAGCAACATCCTGATTAAACTCAAAAAAAACATTTTTTTTTCTCATTATGCACCGCATGCTGAAGAATTTTTTTATACGCTCACCTGACCACTCAGATGCATCTCCATATGTAGGCCTACCAGCTTTCTTCCTGCAAGATTGGAAGCTGCTCGAATTTTCGGTAGTATGACAGACCGACACAGGCTTGAAAGCCATAATATTACGGGACCAACAGTGGAAGGAATAATATTAATAATGTTTAGAGAAGAATATAAAAGCATGACACATAATCACCTCTTCTGATAAAGCTTTTCTCTTTAGCATGAACTTTCTCATACTGCGCAATGATTATGATTAATCACCTGAATTAATTCTTATGTGGTTTCTAAACTAACTTTTTGCTGGAAACGTCCCATTCAGAACATTCTGAACAACTGATATGGCTTCTCTCCAGTTTAGTTCTCATGTTGTCTTACTAAGCCTGATTTTTGAAGAAAGTCTTTCAGACATTCGTAACACTGATATGGCTTCTCTCCAGTATGAATTCTCATGTGACTTACTAAGCTTGATTTTGAGTAAATACTTTCAGACATTCTGATCTCTGATTTGGATTATCTCCATTATTAGTTCTTATGTGGCTTTCTAAATAATGTTTGCGGGAAAAGTCTTTCAGACATTCTGAACACTGATATGGCTTCTCTCCAGTATGAGTTCTCATGTGTCTTACTAACTTTGATTTTTGAAGAAAGTGCTTCAAACATTCTGAACACTGATATGGCTTCTCTCCAGTATGAGTTTTCATGTGAATTATCAATCCTGAATTTTGAGTAAAGTGTTTCAGACATTCTGAACACTGATATGGCTTCTCTCCAGCATGAGATCTTATGTGGTTTTCTAAACTATCTTTGCGGTAAAAGTCTTTCAGACATTCTGAACACTGATATGGCTTCTTTCCAGCATGAGTTCTCATGTGAATTATCAATCCTGAATTTTCAGAAAAGCATTTGACACATTCTGAACACTCATATGGTTTCTGTCCAGTATGAGTTCTCATGTGTCTTACTAAATGTGAATTTTTAGAAAAGTGTTTTAGACATTCTGAACACTGATATGGCTTCTCTCCAGTATGAGTTCTCATGTGTCTTACTAAATGTGAATTTCTAGAAAAGTCTTTCAGACATTCTGAACACCGATATGGCTTCTCTTCAGTATGAGATCTCAAGTGACTTCTTAAGCTTGATTTTTGAGAAAAGCCTTTCAGACATTCTGAACACCGATATAGATTCGCTTCAGTATGAGTTCTCAAGTGACTTCTTAAGCTTGATTTTTGAGAAAAGCCTTTCAGACATTCTGAACACTGATATGGCTTCTCTCCAGTATGAGTTCTCATGTGAATGACTAAATTATAATTTTCAGAAAACACTTTTAGACACACTGAACACTGAAGTGTTTTTTTGCCTGTGACACACCTGGTCTGATATCCACACTGAGATTGTTGTGAAGATTGTTTGAGTGAGTGTGAATGTTCATCTAATTGGTCTCCTACATGAACAACTGTACATTGTGTTGCCTCAACACATTGTTTTTCAGGTATTTTAGACATAGTGAATAATAAGTTCTCACATATTTAAACTGTTTAACCAGGGGATATTTGAGAATATTTTATTACAGAAAAAAACTAATATTCCTGAATTATTCTATCATTGTAAATATAGCAAGCACTAAACATGTAGGGGTAAGTGTGTCTGAGGAATAGGAAGGATGACACTAGCAGATATTTATGATACATTAACCTTATGACACTGTTGTTTGAACTCTAAGTGTTGTAGTACTAACACCTGCTACAGTGTTGTCAATGTATAAGCATTGTTTATAGTGTTGTCACTGTATAAACATTGTTGTTACAGTCACTGTACAAGCACTGTATTAGTGCTGACACTGTATTAACACTAACACTGTGATTAGTGTTGTCACTATACATACATTACAGTATTTACTAAACTTACGAAAGTTTTCTGACACTGATGTTGGTACTACAAGTACCACCTTCTTGTACCAGGATGACCTGCAGTATTGACACTACAAGTACCACTTTCTTGTACTAGGATGACCTGCAATATTGACACAACAACTACCACCTTCTTGTACCCGGATGACCAGCAGTATTGACACTACAAGTACCACCTTCTTGTACCAGGATGACCTGCAGTACTGACACTACAACTGCCACCTTCTTGTACGAGGATGACCTTCAGTACTGACACTACAAATGCCAGCCTCTGGCATCAAGACGACCTGCAAAATAAAATTGAAAATTTATGACCTTTTATTACAATCATTATAATTAATATCATTATTATTATTTTAAACACGCCAACCATCTCTAACAGAAGTAAAGTGACTCAATAAAGAAGAAACACTTTCCCAATCACTGTCTTGCAAGAGGAGGGTTGTTGTTACACTTCAAATGTCCATCCAAACTGTAAATATTCCCACTCATCCTTCAGAGTGCAGACACTGTACTTCACACCACCACTAATCCTTCCGAGTGCAGTCACTGTACAGTGGACCCTCAGGTAGTGATTCTAATCCATTCCAGAGAGCTTGTCCTTAACCAATTTTATCGTTAGCCAAATTAATTTTCCCATCAAAAATAATGGAAATCCAATTAACCCGTAAATGGTCCAAACGTATATATACGTTCACTACCCCAGTGCCCCGAATACAGTGGACCCTCACCTTATGATATTAATCCATTCCTGAGAGCTCAGCATAAGCCAAAATTATCGTAAGGCGAATTAATTTCCCCCATAAGAAATACATGTAATGGAAATAAAATTAATCTGTTCCTGACACTCCAAAGTATGAAAAAAAAAAATTTACCAAATGGAATATTAATTTTAATGTACACAAACTCAAGAAGACATGCACAGTTAGTACTCTAATAACAGTATAATACATGACACTTACCTTTAATGAAGATCTGGTGATGATTGATGGGATGGGAGGAGGGGAGAGTGTCGAACTTATTGTTTAGAAGGGGAATCCCCTTCCATTAGGACTTGAGGTAGCAAGTCCTTTTCCGGAGTTACTTCCCTTCTTTTTTAATGCCACTAGGACCAGCTTGAGAGTCACTGGACCTCTGTCACACAACATATCTGTCCATAGAGCTCTGTACCTCTCATTCCTTTATGATTTGTCTAAAGTGGTTCACAACATTGTCATTGTAATAGTCACCAGCACAGCTTGTAATAGCTGTGTCAGGGTGATTTTCAATCATAAAGATTTGCACTTCAACCCACTTTGCACACATTTCCTTAATCTTTGAAGTAGACAACTTCTTCAATTTCTCTCTTCCTTCCTCCAAAGCTTTCCTCAGGTCGGGCCTCTTGCTGTTGAAGATGACTAGCAGCTCACAGGGGTTAGTTCTTCTTTGTCCTTTTTCCCCCAACTCTTCCACTCCCCACATAACCCCCAAACCCCAAAACGACTTCCCCAAGCCTCAATTGATTCCACAACGGGCATACATCAAGGGTTAGCCCCAAACCCTTAAAACCCTTTTGTCTAACATTCGGGCCCACAGTTTCTTTAACAGAGTTCAAGGTCCTCTTAGTCACCCCTCCCAAGCTTTCCCTAAAAGGGTTTACAAACTGAGGATAGAAATGTCTTTCCAAAACTTTTTTTAGAGTCATTGAGTGTCTGAGGCCCTTTCAAAGCACTTTTGAAACTAGCTTTTTTTACGTTTTTTGAATTGGAAATACCTCTGGTCCATGGGGGGGAAAAAGGGAAAAAAAAATTACCTTAATAAGCTCATTTCCCCAAAAGTCGTTCTTCCAAGACATTTAAAGGGCCCAATTTTTTTAAAATTAGGTAATTTTTCACATTGGGGGGGCAAATGCATGGTGCAAATCATAGAAAAAGTCCCTAGGACACATGCCTTACTTTTTTCCCCTCCCACAGCAACACAAATTAGCCTTGAGGACACGTTTTGCCTGAACGGTCGGGGAGTTTCTGAGGATACACCAAAAAAGGGCTTCATTTTGCAATCCCCACTAGCATTACAACATCAGAAAGTAAGCCTTCTTTCAAAATTTATGTCCGGGAGTCCCTTTTCCCCCTGAGTAATGTAGGTCTGGCTTGGGCAATTTCTTAAAAAACAGGCCGTTTTTTGCAATTTTAAACACTTTTTCAGGTTTCAATTTTTCACTGTCTATGTACCCTTAAAATTTCCTTCACAATTTTTCACCTTTTTTTTGGGTCTGAACTGGAGCCTCACCATGCCTTATCACACATGTATGCCATACAATTTAAAATCTCTCAAATCAACCTTTGCGGGTTTAAAATTTTAACTCAAAATCCCCACTAGTTGCGGATTTTTCTAATTAAATCTCATGCAATTTCCCTAGCTTTTCACATAGATGCTTGAGAGATCTTTTCTCCTATCTTTTTTTTCTTTTTAATCCACCCCAATAACAGTCTCTCAACATCTCAAGTACTTGCAACTCTATTTCGAAAACAAAACATGCACCTTTTGCAAGAACACTTCCTTGATTGTCGTTTTTTTGGGGCCAAATAGCTATGCAAGGTTGATTGGGGTTTGTATACAACCTGGGCCCGCTCCGAGACACACACCCCACTTTTGTACTTTGCAATTACAGGGACCCTGACCAACGAAGGCATAGATAACTTTAAATCCGACACGATACATTTTAATGCAAAAAAATTTTTCCTCGACTATGGCTAAAAATCTCGACCAACCAATTGTTTCCTTCGACTTTCGTCCACTTTTGGCCTTAGTGCACCCCTTGTCCCATGGGTGCCATGTTTACAAGCCAGCCAGACCCAGTCCCATCCAAAATACAAACGGAACATTCAATTATCACAGCGTTTTTGTGATTTCACCTGCAAAATAACACCATGGGGCCCCCAAAAAAGCTTCTAGTGCCAAAACCCACAGCAAAAGGGGAGAAATTTCTATGGATATGAAAAAGAGAAAGCTAAGTATGAAAGTGGAGTGCATGTCTCTGGCTTGCCCGGTTTTTACACAAAACCCCAATCAAACCCCCTAATATTGCGGCCAAGGGGAAAAGGCAATCAAGGAAGCGTTCTTGGCCAAAGGTGCGCTATGTTTTCGAAAATGAATCGCAAATGACAGAAGAGTTGAAGACTGTTATTGGGGTGGTAAATGAAAAAAAAAGTAGCAGGGGATAACTTCTCAAAAGACCATGTGAAAAGGGGTAGGAAATTGCATAGGATTTAATTAGAAAAAGCCCCGCAAAATAGTGGTGATGTAGGATTTAAGGGGCCCCAAAATGTTAAAAAATTAAGAACGATGCAAAAAAAACCTAGGGGATTGAACCCCCCGGCAAGGCTAAACTGGTGGGTTCCCAAACCAAGACAAAGGGTTTTAGGATTTAAGAACAGTGGAACTTGTGAAAGGCTGGTGAGGTGTCCAGCAGGACCAAAAACAGGAAAAAGGCAAGGAAAATTAAAGAAATTTTAAAGGGGGCTAAAGGATGAAACTGAACAAGTGTTTAATTGTTGAAGAAACAGGCCCATTTTTTGGAAGAAAAGAAGCAGGACTAATTTTTCAGGGAAAAAGGGACTCCCAGGACATAAGCCTATGAAAGACAGGCTTACTCTGTTGATGTGTGCTAATGCTAGTGGTGATTGCAAAGTGAAGCCTTTATTGGTGTATCACTCTGAAACTCCCAGAGTGTTCAGGAAAAACAATGTCCTCAAGGCTAATTTGTGTGTGCTGTGGAGTGCAAACAGTAAGGCATGGGTCACTAGGGACTTTTTCTATGACTGGTTACACCATGCATTTGCTCCCACTGTGAAAAATTACCTCCTGGAAAATAAATTGGACCTTAAATGCCTCCTGGTATTAGACAATGCTCCTGATCATCCTTCAGACATGGCAGAGCGACTTTCTGCAGACATGAGCTTCATTAAGGTCAAGTTTTTGCCTCCTAATACCACTCCTCTTCTGCAACCCATGGACCAGCAAGTCATTGCAAACTTCAAAAAACTCTACAAAAAAGCTATGTTTGAAAGGTGCTTTGTAGTGACCACAGAAACTCAATTGACTCTAAGAGAGTTTTGGAGAGATCACTTTAACATCCTCAATTGTGTAAACATTATAGGTAAGGCTTGGGAGGAACTGACTAAGAGGACCTTGAACTCTGCTTGGAAGAAACTGTGGCCAGAATGTGTAGACAAAAGGGATTCTGAGGGATTTGAGGCTAACCCTGAGAAGCGTATGCCAGTTGAGGAATCCATTGTGGCATTGGGGAAGTCCTTGGGGTTGGAGGTTAGTAGGGAGGATGTGGAAGATTTGGTGGAGGAGGACAATGATGAACTAACCACTGATGAGCTGCCAGATCATCTTCAACAGCAAGAGGCCAGACCTGAGGAAATGCTCCGGAGGAGGGGGAGAGAGAAATTGAGGAAGTTGCCTACTTCAAAGATTAAGGAAATGTGTGCAATGTGGCTTAAAGTGCAAAGCTTTTTTGATGAATATCACCCTTACACAGTTATTGCAAGCCGTGCTGGTGACTATTACACTAACAATGTTGTGAAACACTTTAGGAATGTCATAAAGGAATGAGACGTACAGGCCTCTATGGACAGATATGTTGTGCGACAGAGGTCCAGTGACTCTCAAGCTGGTCCTAGTGGCATTAAAAGAAGAAGGGAAGTAACCCCAGAAAAGAACTTGCTACCTCAAGTCTTAATGGAAGGGGTTTCCCCTTCTAAACACTAACACCTCTCCCTTCCTCCCATCCCATCAATCATCACCAGATCTTCAATAAAGGTAAGTGTCATGTAATTGTGCATGTCTTCAGTTTGTGTGTATTAAATTAATATTTCATGTGGGAAAATTTTTTTTTTAAAACATATGGTGCCTTGGTTTAAATGATTCCTTTTCCTTTTATGGGAAAATTAACGGATTCGAATTTGACTAACTGAGAGGAACCGGATTAAACCCTTGTGGATTTGGGAATCCTTTTTATTTAAAAGGGAATTTATTTTTAAAAAATGTTGACTAGAAACCCCTGGGGCCCGGTACTTAAAGAAAAGCAAACCTAAAAACTAGGGGGAAAAGAAATTAGGAATGTATGCTTAAAGAATGGGCAAGGGCTGGCTTTTTAAAATCACACCGGGCAAGTTACCCAACCGTGGGTGCTTTCCTGAAAATGTTTTTCATTAGGAATTTTTCATAAAAATGGAATCGTCTATGGCGATTTTTGTAACAGGGTTCCAGTGATGGTGGGGGTCCAGGGGATTTAGAA